GTTTTAATCATTTCAGTGTAGTGTTTCAAGGTTTGTTGTAGGCAGGAACACATCTCCTTGAGGAGATTTAAATTCAGAGCCTGCTGGGCAAGGGATGAAGTGTGGTGCATTACAGACACCTGTATCTCTGCTGCTGGACTCTGTTTAATACTTTCCCTCATCGTGTTCCTTAGGTCTCTACCCACCGAGAGCTAAGCTGGTAATACAGAGGCATCTCTCATCCCTGACAGATAATGAGCAAGCTGACATCTTTGAGAGAGTTCAGGTAACATTCTTTGTAGGTCTCATAAATAAGATATAAGGAATTGAGCATTGGGTCCTGTTTTTATGAGTTCCTTTTTTCATTCCTCTGCCTGAAGTTAAAAGATGTGAGTCTGATAGTACTCGTTGGGAGAACTAGAATGCCATTGTTACTTTTGCTTCTGAGCGTAGGTAAAACTCTCAGCTTTCTTCATGTTTGTCTGCCAGACAAAATAAAATAAAAGCAGAGAAGCTGTGTTGCCATAGCGTGCTCTTGGTTTGTCTGTTGAACAGAAATTGAAGCCAGTCAGTGACCAGGAAGAAAATGAACTTGTGATTTTACAGCTGAGGCAGCTGTGTGAGGCCAAGCAGAAGACACACGTGCACATCGGGGAAGGCCCATTGGTGAGAAGATATTTCCTCCTTGACCTGCATGGTGTTTTTGTTTATGGATTTAGTTAAAATATCATAGAAGATGTAAAAGGAATTTTTTCCCTTGCTGCTCTCATATTCTTTAGGGGTAAAGTCCTATCAGCATTTTGGGTTTTTTTAAGCATTCTAGTCATTTTACAGGAAATTTTAGGAGACACTGACACACTGAGCTAAAGTAATGATGGTTTTACGATATAAAAGAATTTGTGGTTTTCGATCAAAAAGCAATAATAAGTGTTTTAGAATGAACACGTTTTTTAGTTATATTAATCTATTATTTCATTTCAAATTCGTATGAACATTTTATTTCATCAAAAGCTTAGACCACGCCAATGATGAAAAGGACCAAAGCAGCAGTAATAGCATGTAAAGGGTACCCTAGCTGCAAACTAAAGGGTGGCGTTTTGTGCACCTGACTTAGAATTTATTCCTGGCTGCGTGTATAGATAAAGTAGGACCTCCAGCAGCAATGTCGAAGGGATCATGATATATTTATCTCTTAATAACACTAATGCAGGTCATGTCTTTATTTCACTGTATTCAGAACAAATCACAATGAGTAAGTGAAGGAAAGTGTTTAAATAGTACACATTCATTTGTTGAACAAGCACTTGAGAGCCAACTATGAGCTCAGCTGTAATAAGGTGACCAAAAAAGGGATGAATGGGTGATATCCCCTCCAGACAAGAGTTCAGATATTTCAAAGGGGAATGCAAACATAGATAGATATATAGGATCCAGTCAATAAGAGGCTTTTCGAAAGAATCTATAACGAGTACAAAAGTGGCTGTGTCTTTGCTTTAAAGCTGGAGTGGAGAATAAGGGTAGAGGGAAGAATTCAAGAGGAAGGGATTTTTTTGGGGGGGCTGGAATTTTAGGGGAGGTAAAGTTTGCTATTAGAAAAGTTGAGGAAGTATTGATACCGACATATGCTTTGTGTTATTATTCCCTCCCCAAACAAATTGTAAGGTTTTCCTCTTGAAAGTTTTCTGGCACTAAAGACCATGTAATGTACATAGTAGCCGCTTTCTTCAATGGGGTAAAATAAATAGAGAACCTAATATAGTGGACCCGTCATAAATTCTCACACAGTTTGGTTCTGTCAGTGAATACTTGTTGATCTGAAAGATAAATGACCCACTCACAAATGAAAATGGAATTATAACAGACATTAGCAGAATCCAGTTTTGTTTGGAAGATGCTTTGTTTTTTGCAACTTGTATCCTGTGTTTTCCTTAGTAATTTAGATATAAAAGATGCACCTTAGAAAGGACTGGTTTTAGTTGCTAGCCAGAATAACAGCAGTAAAAACTGACATCTCAAGTTTAATTATTGTTAAATGTAGCAGGTATATATTAGTGGAAAGGAAAGGCATGAAGGAAAGATCTTATATCTGTCTTTATATTATAATATTAAAAAATAAACCCCTTTCCTTATAATTTTTGTGTTCACATTGTGAGACCTAAGTTATTACTTCTTAATAGAGCTACTGAAGAATTTTTGTGTTTTTTAATGGCTTAGTCTTAAGCTTGTATTTAAAGCTTCATTTAACCTTGAATATTTCCAAATGAAAATGTATCTGTTTTTCTTTCTTTAGACTATTTCAAATAGTACAGTCCCAGAAAATGCTACAAGCAGTGGAAGGTTCAAACTGGACATTCTGAAAAATAAAGCTAAGAGATCCTTAACTAGCTCCCTGGAAAATATCTTCTCAAGGGTAAGATTAAACTGTGGGGTTTTTTAGGTATACACGTCTGTGTTTTTTTAACTGTTCTGCTTCATTCTCAACTGGCTCAGAGGAGATTTCCTTTTTGTTAAAAAAAAAACAACCTACTGAGATAACTTTAAATTAGTTAACGCTTGTTTAAAATTACCTCTCAAAATAAATTTCCTTCTGAGATTTAGATTTATTCTGGGGCCTCTGTTATCTGAATTTGAGCAATAGAGATTTAGTAGTAGAAATGCATATGTATATAAAAGAGGAAATAGAATGTTGATGCCCGATACTAAAAAGCTTTTTTTTTAATCATTTCCCATATAAAGTTATAAAGAAGCCCTGTTTTGCCCATTCTTAGGGGCTGATAGGAAAGGCTGAAAATGGTATAAATTAATGGAAATTTATTTCATTTAGTAAATTTATATATTGCATTTAAAAATAAGCAAAATGGTTCCCTTTCCACTTCATTTTCATGTTCTTAAACAATTCAATCTTAAAGTCGTTAGGTGAGATCGAGCTAGGGAGGCGTCTTGGGGCTGTGAGGTGGGGGAAGCCACAGTGACTCAGAGGAGGGAGATGTGCCCATATAGGGCACAGAGTGTGGGGGTGGCTCGATGCAGTGTGTAGGAGCCCCATCTGTGAGGAGGGCATCAGCAGATGAGGCAACCTGGTTTAGGAAGTCAGAGGAGGCAGGCATCCTTGCAGAGGGAAGGCTCAGGGTGGGGTGTCAGAGCCAGAGTGGAGGGGAGACGACGTTCGGGGAGAAGGGTGCCCAGTACGGGAGGCAGCATCTGAGCAGGGTGAGGATGCCCATGTGTTGGGGTGGCAGCCGCAGCATGCCATGTGACAGTCTATGTGAGGCCAGGAGAGTGTGCAGTGGCAGTTCTGGAGCTTGGTTACACACAGGGACTGGTCAAATTAAATGTGTACATATAGGCTGATTACACACAGGACTGGTCAAATAAATAAATATATTAAAGATAGTGGGAGCCAGTGTGTGTATAAATGTGTACAGATAGCTCCTTCCTCTTCCAACTGAGAGAACTTGGGAGCATCTTTTCTGTATACACCAGATAATAAGCCTGGTTGGGTGACATGTAGCATCCAATATTTTTGTTTCTATATATCCTTCTCCTCTAAAAGGAACCAGGATTCTGAGAGAAATGGCTGATTCCAAGACTTCAGGGAAAGTACAAGATAAACCTGAACATCTTGATGTTCTAGATAGTAAGGCAATAAAGATGGTGATATGTCTTAAAGACATAAAAACCTTAAAAGGGCTCCCACTGGTGACATCTGAGACCATATGAGCATTAAAATAAAGGATTGCAACAGGTAATCTAACCTGTCGCATAAAATAGGAAACCTGAGTCTATTCTGATACGAAAAATAAGTGAATACATTGAAAGTTTGATCAGGAACAGGATATTTACTATATGTCATTAATATTCATTAATTACTAATGGAGAAACAATCACTTTACATGGAGAAGGCTGGCAGACACCACCTTAATGAAGGATCAAACCGAACATTATTAGCAATGGGACAAATTGAAACCTGGTGCCACCTGATATAAAGAACACAGCACCACTTCTGTGGTAGTTCTGACAGAGGTGGTACCTGAATCTAACCATGCAGAAATGTTAACAAACCCACACTGAGCAAGCCTGTTATCTTTAAAAGTGTCAAGCTCAAGAGAGTCAAAAAAGACTGAGGAATTGTTCCAGACTGAAGGAACCTAAAGCAACAAGAAAACTAAGTGGAAAAGGAGATTCTAAATTGGATCCTTTTGCTATAAAGGCCTTTTTTGGGACAAATGATGCAATTGGAATGAAGTCTAAGGATTAAATAGTGTTACTGTATCAATGCTAGTTTCCTGGTTTTGAAACTGTGGGAGAATGTCCTTGTTTATAGGAAATACAAACTAAAGTAGTTCCGGATGATGGAGCTTATATTGGCAACTTATTTGCAAATGGTTTTGGAAAAAAAGATTTTTGTACTGTTACTGATAACTTTCCTCTACATTTGAGATTGCTAAAAAATGAAAAAAGAAAAAGAAAGTGATTCTTATAAGCTTGCTTATCACATACACCTCACAAAGCCTGCTCAGGGTATTGTTTTTTTCTTTTCTTTTTTCTGTTTTCCTGAGTGAATCAATAGCTCAGACTAGTAATGGATCAGCAACACTACTGTGCATGGCTGTCAATAAGGCTGGTTTTTGTGCCCAGCCATTTCATATTTACTACCAGGTAGTAAGACTGGTTGGGTGGTAGGTGTTTGAACGCCTTTGAACAAAGGTTCAAAATGTGCTCTTGTGAACTTTTTTCAAAGTCTCTTGGACTTTTTGTTAATACGGAAAGAATATTTCACCCTTAGTCCATGAATGTATTCTTCAGTGATCTCTAAGTTCCTATAAAGACACAAATGAGTGATATAGATTCTTAGACTTTGAGAGGGACTTTGAAGTAAACATTTAGCTCTATTTGCAAATGTGTATTGTTATTAAAAACATTATTTAGGTCTGTTTAACATTAATAGCATTATGAGAATATGTTTGGTCAAACACTTGGATACATTTTGAATTATTCCATGTTCGTACAATAGAGCCTAAAGACAGTAACTTCTGCTATCTGCTGTTCCTAGTTTTATATCTTTGCTATGACTCAAAATACTTTTATAGGTATTTCTCTTAATGACTGAGATTCTTCTAAAGTTAAAAAAAGCCCTGAAGCAAACATGGTCAGCTGTGAATGCCATTATTTATCAGGGCAAAACAATTTCCGAAAATAACATATAGGAGATTTCTCAGAAGTGTATTAATGCAAATTTTCATACAATTTTCATGCTTTTTTCCTTCAAAATTTATAAATTACTAAAATCCTGGCCCTCATCCCAGACCTACTTAATCAGAAACTCTGGGGTTCGGTCCAGTCTTTTGGGTTTTAATAAGCCCTCCAGGTGATGCTGATGCAAGCTGAAGTTTGGGACTACTACTTTAGACAAGCACAATTCTTAAAGCACTAGAGTCATGAACAGCATCAGCGACTCAAATCGCACACAGTGTTCAGTGAGAATTTAGTAGAAAGACCATTTAAGTAGGTGTCAGGAGACCTGAATGCAAGACTTGGCCCTCGCAGGTCTTCCATATTTATAATTCTGGATGAATTATTTACCTTTCCTAAGCCATAGTTTCCCCATTTGTGAAATGGACGTAATTAATACCCACTCTCCTCACATTATTGTAAGGATTAAATGTGAGTATGTTAGGGAAATCCCACATTATAAATATGAGGTGGTATACTCAGTGACAAGCCGAAAACCTCTGTCATTTACAAAATGGCGAACGGGTATTTCAAATGTCACTTTATCTCCACTTGGTACTGTGCCGTCCGGGCACAGCACTTGTGCGGCCGACTTTGAAGGATCGTTTCCGCATGCCTCGAGCTGTTGCAGTGGCTCTTTCGGCAAGGGCACAGCCAATCTATTTTTGTCAAGGTGGATACTGTAGCTTTTGTGTCCCAAAGTGATGCCAAATGCCATCAATTTCGTGACCTAACTGGGTCTCGCTTGCACCGTGTGCAGCAGATGCACTTGTTGGGCAGGTTGGCAGCTTCCCCTGTTGTACTAAAGGTTACGCGGCAAAAGGGCTTTTGTGACTTCTAACACTTGTCAGTTTTTTTTTCCTTCTCTGAGTTGTGTAGCAGAAAATTGACACTCCAGTTGTGGAGTTTAGCTCATAATCGCTGCTATTTTTAAATGTCAAAATATCTAATTTGGCTAACTATAGTTGTTTATGAAATAGGATCCATTTCTTACATGCTTAGAAGCTCAGCTCATTAACTCTTAAAAAGCGGCTGAAGGAAAAGGGCCTGCCACGTGAATTACCAAATCATAACGTATGAACACTGAAAAAACTATCTGTTCAAAGGTGAAAATCAGAATCATGAATTGTGGTTGTTGTCTGTTTCTTTTTCTTAAGTTGAAGGTTTTCAAAAGAGAAATATTTACTAATACGAAGTGCAAGTCGTTTGGAAAACAGTCCTGATTTTGTGCTTTCTTCAGGTGTACTATCCATTGTCTTGACTTGCTGAAATGTGCGAAGTGGTACAGTAAAATTTTAAAGTTTGTTTTTCTTTGTGCACAAAATAGCACCCATAGATCAAATACCACTATGAGTCAACTGTGTGATTTAAGTTGCTTTTCTGGTGATGGAAATGGTTTGAGACTCACCTGACCACTTTCCCTGTTACCACCAAGTAACCTGTTTGAGATAACCCGGCAGGTTGGTGTGTAAGTCGCAGCTAAAAATTATAGACAGTAACCTGGTCTTTACTGTATTTTCCTCTTAGCCACACACAGTAACCCAGCAATTTATTGGCTAAAAGTATAGTTTATTATTGGAAGTATGTCAGGTATAGCATAAAACTGAAGAACAGGAAGGATCTTGATGAGATTCCAGGAGATTTGCAAAATTCTATTTAACCTATGTATACTGATTGTCTTTATTTGTAATTCTGTTTTTCACAGAGCTCTTAGGGAAGTAGTAGTGAGTAAGAGCTCAAGGGCTTCACTTTTAAGTTGTGCTTCCCAGGTTCAAATTGCTGCTCTTTCCTTTACAGAACAGTGTAAACTTGGGCAACATAATGTATCAGAACTCAGTCTCCTTATCTGTGAAGCTGAGCTAAATAGCTATACAGAATTGTGAGGATTAAATGAGATAAAGCAGTAAAATAACACAGTGTATAGCAAATGCTAAGCATTCAGTAATATCAGATGCAGCTACTAATTTTATTACCATTTTAGTTATTATATACTGAGTCGTTAAAAATAAAAAAACTATAATTAATATATACAGATATGAATAAGTACTATTTCTATGAAACAAGATAGGATATCAGAAGTATTAAACAGTTATCTGAGACCAAGAAAGAACTCTTAAAACTTTCTGATAGTTGACATATAAAGAAAAACCCAATAGAAGGCTAGGAAACTACAGTTGGAAAAATCTTCCAGAAAACAGAGCAAAATGACAAAGAAATGGAAAATAGGAGAACAAGGTAAAAAGTTAAAGGATCAGTCTGGAGCCAAACAGTAGGAGCTCCAGAAACAGCAAATGTATGCAGGACACTTTCACAGAAATAATTTCAAAAATTTCTCAGAGCTGATAATCATGAGTTTCCAGATTCAGTAAACTCAGAAAATGCACAATAGAATTAGTGAGTAAAAGTCATGCTAAGGCACATTGTGAAATTTCCGAATGCCCAAGGGTGAGCTTAGATTCTGTTCCAAAGAGAAGTAAGAGGTCGTACACACAGGCTCTAGAATCACAATGGCATTAGACTTCTGAACCAAAGGACATTTGAGCAATGCTAATGTATTCTGAAGGAAAATTTCTAACCAGAATTATATACAGTAGTCAGCCAAACTATTACTAAAATATAAACATAGAATAATGACATTTACAGACATGTAAATTTAAAAAAAATTTACTTTCTACTCTCCCTGTCTCAGAAAGCACCTGGAGAATGTCCTCTACCAAAATGAGGAAATAAACTAAAAAAGAGGAAGCCATGGGATCAAGGGAACAGAAATTCCAACAGAGGAGAGTTTGAAAGAAAATTTCAAAGTTGAGAGTGAAGGAAAGTACTAGGAAGATCTGTAGAGCAAGACTAAATTGCAGTGAGCCCAGATTGGGCCAGGAACACAGAGATCTCCATAATGGGTAGCTCGAAGAAAAAGAAAAACTTGTAATTTGTGGATTATGTGATGTTTGACCACAGCGTGATCTGTTAGGGAATTTTGTAATAAAGTCGCAATTGCTGAAGCAGTCATTAACTCCATGAAAAACAAAATGCAAAAGATATGATATGTAAACAGACGTAATCATAGTAAACTATGTAGCCCAGCTGCAAACATTTGCAAAGTTATAACAGTCTAAGCACAAAATACTGATTTCACTGAAACTTGTGATGTAACTGTGTTGAGAGAGGAGGGTTAGAGAGAAGTGTGTGTGTTGGGGGTGGGGGCTGAGGGGTGGTGGAGGTGGGTTCCAGAGTTAGGAAGTCAATAGGTAGTATCTGAAATGGAAAAATGAAGGAATAGTACTATAAACTCAATACCAGAGAGATCCATATAAACAGTTACAAGATTTGCTTTTGGGAAGTGGGATTCAGTGTGAGGGGGTTGCTGACTGCTATTTTTCATTATAAGCTTGGTGGCAGAATTTGACTTTGGAAACTTGGTGCAGTTATTACTTTCATTAAAAATCAAAATGAAATTTAATCTCCTCCTCCCCAAAAATTAAACCCAAGAATGTATGGAGACAAACTTTAAAACTATAAAGTACTACGCAGATATTGTGCATTTTTTTGTATTCTGCCTGGTCACTGTCACATTGATCTGACTTGTAATTCCAGTCATTCTTTTTAGAACTTTTCCACGTGTTTTAGAGTTGTGTAGAGCTCCTCCGTCTGTTTTGTCTCTTAAGACCTTGTAGATAATGTGATTCCCAACCTGCCTTGGTGTCCTCTTTCCTTAAATAGTTGGCTTGTTTCCTACTACTTAAAGTTAAGGAAACGGACAAGATGATCTCTCAGGTACCTTTTCATGCAGTCATCTATAAAGTCCACACCAAAGGATTAGGTAAAAAGAAAATCAATAACCAATTCACCAATACTGAAGCAGACTGATACTTAATCTTCTAAAGGGAAATGAATTTATTAAAATGATTTTGCATTATGGGATAACGAATGAAGAAAAATCCATAAATTTTAGAATGCCATTTTCTATTTTGTTTTTAACCTGTATTTATTATCTTATAATGTGAATTATGATGTTTGTAGTCTAGTTTGTATGGAGGTTCAATGTATTAAACTATTTTCATTATAACTTTTTTGGTTTGCTTTGCTGTATCTTCCACATTTGCATTTATGTGTGTGAGACACAGAGTTAATGGGGCTCTCTTTGATCTTATAGATGAATAATGTGTAACCTGTTCACCAAAATCACTTCAAAAAGCTTGGTCTGAGTTATCGAACAGACGATTTAGAAATGATGGAAATAGATTGAGAATAGTTCTATTTATTGTGTTGTAGTGGCTGTTAATAGAGCCAACAAATTTGAGTGAATCACAAAAGGATCAATTTAATGCTAACATGAAGAGGCAACCTGAAACTGCTTTTCATAGTTTTGAAGTAAAAATGTAAATCGTATGAAGGATTTAATTGTATTCTTTTCACTCAGGGAGCTAACAGAATGAGAGGTCGGCTTGGAAGTATGGACAGCTTTGAACGATCCAACAGTCTTGCTTCAGAGAAGGTATCTCATCAGATCTCTCCCTTGTTTACTACTAATTGCGACTTAGCAAAAACCAACACTGATATGGTAATACGCATGCTTAATTATTTTATTAGAAGTTCTTTATGTCTTTTTAAAAAATAAATACTTGAGGCTTTATTATTTTAGATAAGAAGATTCTGGATATTAGCATGTAGCTCTTATTCAGCTCAGCTTTCTCATGTTGGGACAGAACTCTTCCCTCACAGGCTAACTGTGCTCAGCCAGGCTTTTTATTTAT